TTATTATTATTATTATTATTATTATTAAAATTCAGTTATTACATTATATTCATAGACTTTCCGATTAGTTTTAGTTTCACTGTATTTGGAATTTATGAAACGTTAGAAAAGCTATGAATGGTGTATTATGAATTCAAAAGTCTTAATTGATTATTGTAAAGCACTCCTTAAGTTTTAGTTTACTTATTTAGGATGATTATAAACAATGGTTTAAAATTGTCGTTAAATTCTTTTTTCTGCAGGTCATAATTGTGTAAAGTCGAACTGAAGTAACCATGGGCATTTCTGCGAAGTGGTTTAAATCACTTGTTGGGACTAAAAAGCAAGAAAAACTGCAAAACTTGGGAAACTGTGAGAATGTGGGTACAATGGTATCTTTTTCCTCCTTTTATGGTATTGTTTGAAGACTTATGGTTCTTCCCAATATGCACATCAAAGCATAAAGTAGTTAAGCATGCAATGCTGTAGTTAATGCTTCGTGCTTACAAAGTATGCTTGGGAACTTATCGTTTTTTATTATAGATATGGTGAAACAGCATCTTATGACTTATCTAATTCCATCGCTTCATGAGAACTCATGGCAGTTTGATTTTACTGAATAAGAGTTTGAAATAAGTGAATCAATTATTCTAATTTTTATCGCTCTAACCATTTTATGGGGTGGGGTGTAGCGGCTCCAAAACTGATGGGAAAGGTCAGGGAGCAAGAAACTTGTGCAGGTTATTAAAATCATGGACAAGATTGACATTTTTTATAAACATTTTAACAAGTGTGAGCAGACCATGCCATTCCCAGAAAGGAAGTTGCTATTTGTTTTTGGCAGACAATTTCTTATGCCATTCCCAGAAAGGAAGTTGCTATTTGTTTTTGCTGATCTCAAACTAAGCCATAATTTGATATCAGAGTATGCCATATTATGGGGCTATTGGTTTAGTTTACGTTCTCAAAAGATGATCTACTTTGACACACTTGGGGGTGACCCAGCAATATGGCATTGTACATATCAGAGCTTTCCTTTACTATTTAAGTTGCGAGGAGGCCAAAGAGGATTCATGTATATCTTTCTTATCTTTAGTCGGAATCACAACATTTTTTATTTAGTGGATCTATATCTCAATTCCTTACAACTTTTTTCATCACTACTTTTGTTGGTTTTGTTCTCATGGACCATTGATTACTCATAGACCAAAAATCAACACAAACTTTTTTAGTTTGAGTATTTCTCTTCCACCGCTCATCAAAATTGAATTATTTTGTAAAGGTGGATTTGTGTCCTATATAATTGCATTCATCACCTTGATTGATTCTGATAATATAGTGTGTGGATCACTCCTAAACTGATTACTTCTGCAAAATCTTAAGAATCTCTTAAAGAATATAACATTGATTTTCTTATTTAAATTTTTTTTTTGGGTGCAAATTGCTAAAAAAAATGAGAGATTTAAACCTTGAATTTTCCTTAAAAGTTTGTGCTCGTTCCTTATTTATATCAGAGCCACATAGCTTATTTACTTACAACATTTCTGTCTATCTTATTATATTGACCATATAGTGTTTATCTCTTATTGAAATCACATGACTTTTGAATGATTGATCTGTGATGTAAGTCTCTAAAAGTTGTGTTCATGAGTTTGATTAATATTTCTTTTTTAACTTGATCTAATTATAGTCTAAAAGTGACACCGTTCAAGGCTTCTACTGAGGGGATTTTGCAGAGAAGAGGTTGTGCATTGGCAAGGATGATTTTGCATGAGTCGGACGGCATTTGGAATGATGTATGAGGCCTTTTAACTTGAAGTGTGATGTAGTCTAAAAGTGACACCTTTCAAGGCTTCTACTGAGGGGATTTCACAGAGAAGAGGTTGTGCATTGGCAAGGATGATATTACATGAGTCGGACGGCATTTGGAATGATGTATGAGGCGGAACTTGTTGTTGGACAGTATGTTGGAGTTCTGCTGTTGTTCAAATGAATAATGGTAGTCGAATGATGAAAGGCCTAGGAAGATCTACCACTTGTTCCTGTGCATGATACAAACAAGCCAATTTCAAAATGAAGAGAGTACAATACTGCATAAGATAGAAAATAGATATTGCAATATCCAAATACACAAAACAAAACAAAACAAAAGTCCGTTAAAAAAAAACATATATAAATAGTTCTTGAATAGTAGATACAAACCTAATTAGAAATAGAGAAATATGAAAAAAATAAAAAGAAAAATAATATGCAAAAATTGAAAGTTGACGGTCCTGTTCCAATTCCCGCTATGGCAGCTTCTTGCATATATAAATAGTTCTTGAATAGCAGATACAAACCTAATTAGAAATAGGAAATATGAAAAAAATAAATAGAAAAATAATATGCAAAAATTGAAAGTTGGCGGTCCTGTTCCAATTCCCGCTATGGCAGCTTCTTGTGAATCTCACAGAAACGCGAGATTTCATGATCTTGTAGAAACAGAGAATTTTTGCGATCCCGTTTCCACTGAATCAACGCTCATTGTCATTCTCCTGGGCTAGAATAAGTTTCTTCTTCCTCTCTGGAAGGACTTGGATTGCACCATCCGATATTCTTTCCCACAAAATGTATTATGGAGATTTTCAAATTTGTGATTCATCACTCCTATTTTACCATCTGTCTGTGATTGCACGACTGAACTGAACTGGAACTTTATATCCAACTTACTCCATAGACTATTCTAGAAATAGCTTAGGGAATCCTCATTTTTATCTAAAGCGAGTATATGCCTGATCATTCTCAGTCGGGGCTTGCCCTGTATCTAATATTGGTCTCTCAAACTCAGCGCCTTCTTGGACAACTAATGCTTGTCTTGTTGGTGTTTCTCTCATGGTTTGCAAAAAGATAGTTTGTTTCACCACATTCTCAAACACCTTAGATGCCTTCCTAGGCATGAGTACAATGCACTTCTCATCTTTGGTGAAAGAATATGTGCTTTAATGGTCATCATGATATGTGTAACAATCATTCTGCCAATAATGATTCCACACTTGCTCTTGGAACCTTATAGAAAACTCTACGAGTCGTCTCTTGTCAGTATTGATCTTACTCCTTTTCCTCAATCAAGTCAGAGAGTATAGCTGAGAATGCTTCTGAGTAGTAAGGCTTAATTTATCTGCCAATTATATAGATGCCACATTTTCACAATTTTCTTCATCTATTATGATGTTGAACAGCTTTTCCTGCACAATACAATGATTATGAAAGATGTGGTGGAGCTACTATTGCTCCCTCTTGGGTTCAACTTTAAGGCTCAGTCGGGTTACTGGCCTCTCTCTCTCATGAGCTGGAAGCCGGTACTCCTCTTTTTTATCTTCTCTTATATCTCTTGTGTCATTGTCTATATTTTTCACAACTTCTTGCTCAGTGAAAGACATCACCCTTCTGTTTGTGCAACCAGACTCAATGTGCTCAAAACTATGACACTTGAAGCATTTTCTCATTGGGACGAATTTGGGAGTATTGGTTGTCTCCAATTTTTCTTCACCATGAATTGTTTTTTTCTCAAGCGGGATCGACTGAAATTTTTCTTTGCGTGTACTCTTGTTGCTTAATCCTATGGTTGAATTCTACTTTTGAGGTGTGATGGTCACTTTGAAAGGGTGCATGTTGCATAACTACATCAAAATAGTTACTAAACTTACAAAAAGTATGCCATTAGGGAAAAACATGAGACTATCATGTTCAAAAAAAAAGGAAAAAGTACACGAGATTGATCTAAATTTGTATTAACAAAATTCTAAGTCATGGCAATTTGTGCACAATGATGTGTGGTGGTATTTCTTCTTCTATCAATATGCTGAAATAAAACTTGTTTGAAGGATTCTAAAAATGCATGGTCCTCACAATCAAGTGGTTTTTCTTTCCATCTGGTATTGGTGTTGGTTTGTTGGATGGTATCAAAGATGTTATGTCACCTTAAAAGCTATGATCTGCACATCAAGTAGGGACTAGTGCGACAAAAGTTGCACCACATTATCTCAATATTGTGTGCTTCTCTGGTTTCACCAACTCACATTTTAGCAAGCAATGATCAAGTTCACCTACCTGTGTACTCCACAGAAGAATCTCTCTCGCGCTGATGGTAATATGGGGAAAGGTATTTGTGTTGAACCACTTTTTTCAACCTCGATCAAGTGGTGATCTTGCTCATCTCTTTCCTCTATCGAATACATTTAGGATCAAGTTCACCTGCGTACTCCACAGAAGAATCTGTTTGGAGCTAATGGTAAAATGGGGAAATGTATTTGTGCTGCACCACTTTTTTCAACCTCGATCAGATGGTGATCTTACTCTTCCCTTTTCTTTATCAAATAATTTAGGATCTCCCACCACAAGGAAGCGTTCTTGTTGAAATTGGCGTATTCCAATTTAACTCTATTTAAAGCCACTCGATAAACTCGTTCGGATTTATACTACCGTCAAAATTTCATAAATTCATATTTACTTCAAGATCTTAACTTCTCATCTGATATTTCATGCCATTTGTTGAGGTGTTGGTTCTTCGCCATTGGATATTTTTCGATTGAAGGAATTTATTTCCTTTCCTCAATCTGGCGAGCAACTGTTGTGGATATTGATGACCTCATTAGATTGTATCCTCTTAAAGTGATGTAGGAGCATCCCGCAGGAGACATTTTTGTGATCTCTACTACAATACTGCTACAATGTCGCAAATTCTTGTGGGCAAGTGCGGCTTGGACTGATCTAGGAGGGCCAGTAGACCCTTCATTTACGTGGATTTCCCTTCTATTTTGAGTGTGGTCCACTCTTATTTACCTTAAGTTCATGAATATGTTTTTGTATTTTTAGGTCAGTTTTGTCTTGAGTTTTGTTCGAGACAGTCGCCAGCATCTCTCTTTTCCCTGCAAGTGTTGTTTTCGAAAGTTTGGGCGGTGCTTCGATTGTATCTCATTTTTAAGGTCGTGAGTATCTTTCTTATTCCCTTCTGTATCCTCCCCACATTGTTTCGGGCAAATGCGGTTGGACCGATCCAGGAGGGCTAGTTGACCCTTCATTTACGTGGATTTCCCTTCTATTTTGGGTGTGGTCCACTCCTATTTACCTTAAGTTCATAAATTGTTTTTTGTATTTTTAGGTCAGTTTTGTCTTAAGTTTTGTTTGAGATAGCCGCCAACATCTCTCTTTTCCTTGCAAGTATTGTTTTCGAAGGTTTGGGTGGTGCTTCGATTGTATCTCATTTTTGAGGTGGTGATTATCTTTCTTATTCCCTTCTGTATCCTCCCCACATCGTTTTCGGCTGCCCTCCACTACAGCAACCTCCCCCAAACAACCGCTTGCTGCTATTTCTCTGTAGTTTTCCTTTCTTCCAGCCACTGCCACCCACGTT